GAATTAAAAATAAATAAATAAATGGATATCATTTCCCATGGTTGGAGTTTATTGTTTTTGCATAGGTATCCATTTGGTTGACTATGATTATTCTTTAGTCAAAATATAATTATAATGAATATTGAAAAGCTTACTTTCCAAAGATAATAAATCTTCAAACATCGCTAATTAATTTCTCAAAGGCTTTTATTTTTTTAAACAATTTATAATTATTCACAGTATAATTGGAAAGAGGGGGGAAAGGGGTTCCATGGAACTCGAACGTGCAATTTACGGAAGTGAACAGGCCTAACCCAATATCCAATACCATTGGGCCGGAGCGGGCAGTTCAAAGGGCTTTTATTATTTTTATTATTATTATTATTATTTTGATAACTTAGATTGATAAATATTTTACTGGTTGAACCATAATACTAATATATTGTATAACACAATTTTTATCCTTTTGCTTCTGGAAACTAAGTCCACAACTTCAAGATTTATCTCTCAACAACAACAAATTACACCAACGAGGGGTTGGATCAAGTGGCAAGTGGTTTATTCCAGTTTAAGTAAGGTCTCGAGTTTGAAACTTTGTGTACACAGCAGCTTTCGTTGGAAGACCCACTCACCATTCTGGTGCGCCACAGTTGATCGAGTCTGGAGTAGTCGGGGCAAAACCCCGGATACCAGGCGGGAAACCAAAAAAAAAAAAACAACAACAAATTACGTGGAAAGCTTCCAAGATCATTGAAATTTCTTCAAATTCAAATGTAGACCTTATTTTATTTTATTAGAGAGTACGATTCAACTCTTTTCTGGTGTTACTACTCTTACATTAAGCCACAACTTACTCTCAGGGTCCATTCCAGCAAACTATTGCAATCTCTAGATCTTTCTGAGAACCACCTCAACGGCAGCATTCCTTCTTCAATAAGTTAGAGAGCTTACAAGTTTCATCTCTAGAAAAAAAATCAACTTTCTGGAAAGATCTTTTTGTGGAAGAGATTGAAGAATTTGGCGGCATTAGATCTTTCCAACAATAACCTATCTGGCCACATTCCAAGCTCATTGTGCTTGCAATATGAGCTTTCTTATTTGAAATTGAATGGCAACAATCTTCATGGAAAGCTTTCATCCTTACAAAACTGCACAAGTTTGTTGGAGCTTAGTCTTGCATTCAATCAATTATCTGGAAACATTCAATTCCAAGGTGGGTTGGAGAAACTCTTAACGGACCTAAAAATACTAAAGTTGGGAGGAAACATGCTTAGGGGAAAGATACCAGAAAATTTGTGTTTCCTTTCTAATCTCCATGCTCTAGATCTAGGGCAGAATAATTTGTCAAGGCTGATTCCTTCATGTCTAGGCAATTTAAGCAGCTTGCATCAGATGAAAATTAATTCTTTTATGGGATACAGTTATGGTCAATATAGGGATGATATGGAATTTAATGTAAAAGGGCAAACACTTGAATTCATTCAGAGACTTGATCTTGTAAATTTGATAGATTTGGCAAGTAATAATCTTGAAGGAGTGATTCCAGAGGGGATAATGAAGCTTTCTGCCTTGGGTACCTTGAACTTATCTAGGAATCGGTTAACAGGAAATATCCCCTAGAACATTGGTGACTTGCAGCTATTAGAAAATCTAGACCTCTCAGTCAACCATCTTTCAGGCCCGATTCCAGCAAACATGGTGTCTATGACATCGTTAAGCCATTTGAACTTGTCTCATAATGATCTGTTTGGACCAATCCCATCGGCAAACCAGTTCCTAACCTTCAATGATCCCTCCATTTATGAAGGAAACCCAAAACTTTGTGGAGCCCCATTGCCGACCAACTGTTCAACACACAAAAATGATGCTCCAGAGGGCAATACTGGCAAGAACAAAGATGAAATTGGGTCTGAGAAGATGTGGTTCTACACAGGAGTGGCGTTCAGATTTGTGGTGGGATTTTGGGTTGTCTGTGGAACTTTGGTGATCAAGAGGTCTTGGAGACATGCTTACTTTTGCTTCATGGAAGAAATGAAGGATAGGATCTATGTTTTCGTTGTAGTGAAGGCAGCTCGTTTGCAGAAGAAGCTGAAGGGCGAAACAAGCTCAGACCATGGTGAATGTACTTATCTTCCACATCGTCTTATGCATTCATAATACACGTATAACCCAATTTAATTATAAGCTTTCTGTTTGTTCTTTCAGGTAATAATTAAGTTTATGCATTGGGAGGATTATTAGTTCTACATCATAAATGCTGTCTGTTCAGCGATGTAGTTTTCTGCATTGAAGGGTTTGAATTATGAAGACAAATCACTGATTTGGTGGAAGTTTACTGTGTGTTGCCAATAATAATAGGTCGATATCAATTTATTACTTCTGTTGTCAAGGAATGTCAGTATTTTCAGTCAGTTGTTGTGTGCTTTCGAGAAGTAATGGTGTGACTCTTGTCTTGTTTATGTCATATTTTGAACCGCTGAAATTGATATTCTGTGTGGTTGTGAAGCTACCTTTATGCTTATAACCTAAATTTTATTGATGCAATTTCTAAAGAAATTATGAAAAGTTTTTAATCATAAATTTACAGTCTTTTTTATTTTCTGTAACTGCACAACTACATTATGTTAATCACTTTCATCTCTATGTACTGCAAATTATATGAAGAGATTTCATTTTCTACCTCTGTAAAGGGTATATATAATTTATCAGATTCTCCTTTGAAATCAATCAGCTCCTACACCCTTTCACACATTATGTTCTGAATAGAAAGTAAAGTTTGCATTTTGACTGCCTTATTTTCAGGTAACTGAAGATGATACAAACACAAACTTTTCTTCTATTCCATTATATAAATGAAGTAGCACTACGAGAGAAGATTATATGTTACCTTTTTTTTTTTTTTCTTTTGATAAAGAGATTATATGTTACTTTGATGATATATTAACACAAAACTATACTAAGAAACGAAAAGCAATTTAATACTGAAAATTTTTCTTTCTAACAAAATGCTAATTATGAAGTGTGAACTTCTAGAAGGATTTATACAGTATAAACATTTGGTTTACCATCGACCAATTTGGCTGGGTTTAGTCTCTTCTTTCTCTCATCAAAGCCCAGGCTTTGCACCAAACTAAGAAGGCAGCAGCTGACTGTTTTGATTTCTCTTTCAGGTTGCGAAAGGTTTGCTGGTTTGTCTTCTGGTTGAACTTCTAAATTGTTCATCACCATTCACAATGGCAGTACCATTGAATCTATTACAAAAGAGCTCAATTAGTTGATTTTTCATGTCATTTGCGGAAGTTTCATCATCCACAACAGTAGCTTTGTCATGTGCAGAATTTTCTATGGAGCATTTAGGATGGATGGGAGTGTTGCCATGAGAATGGGTAGCATCTGCACGAATACAATACAACCTTAGTCAAATATCACATATAAATGTCTATATTTAGGGATAATTCTCAGTGAATCAAGTATAACTCTTTGCATGCCTTGCAAAGGAAAAAAAAAAAAAAAAAAAAAAAGGGATTTCCTAACATAAAATTAAGGAAATCTCACCACAAGTGACACTGAAAAAATCTTCAGCTCTTCCCAATCAGAATCTCAATTTCAAAAAGGGGACCTGCTTTACCTGCATAAAACAACAGGAAATTTTCAAATTAAAAAT